CATGGTCAGACATATGGGAGAGAACAGCTCATACTCCTGAGTCTGAAGCATCCACCCCTAAAATAAAATGTTTGGTGGGATGTGGTTGGATGAGAACAGGTGCACTGGTGAAAAGGTTCTTTAACTGGGTGAACGCAGCATCTGCTTCTGGGGTCAGGCTGTAGGGGGTCTGGTAGAGGTTAGGGGCTGTTAAAAGCTGAGCTGTCTGGCTGTAATTGCAAATAAATCATCGATAGAAGTTAGCAAACCCGAGAAACCTTTGAAGCTGCTTTCCGGTTTCAGGAGTGGGCCAATCCAAAACTGCCTTGATCTTTTCTTCTGTGGGTCCTACCTGTCCGTCCCTAAGAATGAAGCCCATAAAAGTGACTGAATGTTGGTGAAACTCATATTTTTCAGCTTTCATGAAAAATTTATTTTCCAGGAGGTGCTGAAGAACTTCAGCGTCTCCTAAAAAACAGCCGCCTACCAGCCCTTAAGAACCTCACGTGGTTCTTATGCTCCGGTAGGTACTTAGAAAAAATCAAAATGTCATCAATATAGACAAACACAAACACATTAAGGAAATCTCTAAGCATGTCATTTACAAGGTGGAAACAAGCTGGGGCATTAGTTAAACCAAAAAGGCATAACCAAGTATTCGAAGTGGCCTAGTGGTGTCTTGAAGGCTGTCTTCCACTCATCCCCTTCTTTTATGCAAAGTAAGTGGTAAGCGTTTCTTGAGTCAAGCTTAGTGAACACTGTGGCCCCTTAGATAAGCTTAAATGCAGAGAACAAGAGTGGCAAAGGGTACTTGTTTTTAACAGTTATTTGTTTCAAACCTCTATAAAGAGCCATCCTTCTTTCCAACAAAAAAGAAACCTGCCCCTAGACAGGAAGCGGAGGGTCGAATAATGCTTGCCGCTTAAGACTCCTGTCTGTATCTTTCCATGGTCTTTCTTTCAGGTTTGGAGATGTTGTAAAGTTGACTACTGGGTAGTGGAGCTCTGGGTAACAGGTCTATGGCGCAATCATATGGTCTGTGGGGAGGCAGAGACAAAGCTTTAGTTTTACTTAATATCTGAGCCAAATCATTATAATCGGCGGGTACTAAGGAGAGATCAGGTGGGTCAGCCTCATGGCTTTCTGCCGGTTGAGAGCCTGGCGGAACAGCAGAGCGGAGACAAGATGAGTGTCAGGTTACTGACCAAGAGTCAATGTGTCTGTTAGATCAATTGATTCTGCGGTTCTGTAATTGTAACCACTCAAACCCAAGGATCAATGGGGAACTAGCAGTAGGGAAAAGCTTTCCGGTGGGGGATCAGACCAAACTGTTATTGCCAATGGGAGGGGATCCAAATGCACATCCTTAGCAGATCAACTGATGTTCTGTTTCATCTGAGCGTTATGAAATGTATTAAAAAGACCTAGCGCTTTGACTTTAATCACTAGCCTTTTATCTCTTTGAAAGCTTGTAGGTACAACCAGTACCCTATTAACAACCAGACTCCTGCTGTCACGTCATGGTTGTAGTTAAGAGGACCCAAATGCAGAGGCAGAGAGGCTGAGGTGAATTCTTGTAGTTGTAATGAAAATAGTTAACAAAGGCACAAATCCAAAAATCCATCTAAAAATGTAAAGCAAACCAGAACCAAGGGGACATCAGGGGACACCAAACACGAGGAGCCAGGGAGAGACAAGGTATGAAGACAAGCCAGCAACGACAAGGAGCCAACAAGAAGTGACTCCAGAGGGAGAGTATATGTAGCTGACTGAGACAATGGCTGGGCTAACGAGCTGACAAGGAGCAGGTGTAAGGAGATAACGAGGGAGCCAAGGGGAAAGGAATACACACAAGAGGGCAACAGAGGAAAACAACAGAAAAACCGGAAAACTAACATAAATCTAAAAACTACACAAAATAAGAATTAAACCAGTAAAACTAGGAAACATGGAGCAAAGTAAAGCACAACAGAACCAAAACCATGACACCTTCTTGTGTGACAATTGATTAGACTCTCCCATGAAACATAAGGGAGGTATGTCATGCAAAATTCTGCTGAAAGGGTTTGAATAAATGGCATGTCAGCCCTTGGGAGATTTATAAGCGTCTTCCCAATACTAAATCAAAGGGGCTTTATAGTCTATTCCTAACAGATTTATGGTTCAGATAAATTATTCCTGGTAACTGAATGATTTAATATTTTTCCTAAGGCAAGAACTGTTTATTTCTATGGCACCGTTCTGTGACGTGACAATTCAAGGTTCTCTACATGAGAAGAAAAAGAAAGGAAATTGCATTTTTATAAAAAAAAATATCTAAATAAAATAACCATAAACAGTTAAAAACAGATGTTTGCATTTAAAAAAGAGTAATTGATGAAAAAATTATTAAGGAAAGTTGGACCAAAAACATAACTCATTATTTTCAGATATTACAATAAAAGGTCACTCTAAACAAATACATTTCCAATCTTGATTTAAAGAAATTTAGGATTTAAGAGATTTTACACCTTTATTCTATTCACCCTGATGGCTAGCTGAAAAGTAACTAAAGCTGTTCATTTGAATTACTTTGTAAAGCTTATTGCAACACTTTTGCATGATAGTTTTTGTCATCAGAGGCTCCAAAGCAAGTGACTGCACAGTTACTGAACTCAGAGCACAGTTTGTTTTCTATGTGAAAGGTAATTTACTGCACTGGATAACAATTCACAACTTAAATTTTGTTATTCTTGTTGTTTTTCGGTTCCCTTGTTGATTTTTAAATGAATGTTTAAATGAAGTTTTAATGGTTATTTTAATATACAAAGAAATTGTGAAGAGATTGTTGTACCGTAATTAATTAGTCAATAATTGGGACAATTAGACAGCAGTTTTAAGGTTGGTGATTAATGTGTGCATCTCAACAGAATGCACGCATGTTCAGGCCAATAGTTCACACTTTAATCCTTATGAAACTGAGACTGCAGCTTAATATGTACCCATCAGTTTTCTGAATAGATCCTGGAAGAGAACTTGAAACAGAGGCAAAAATAAAGCAGAAGAAAATAATCCATTATAAGTACAATAGAAGTTATTATATATTATAAAATTGAATAGTACAGGGGCTGCTCAGGTAAGCAGTGGGTAGCACTGCTGCCTTTCAGCTAGAAAGTTCTGGGTTTGATTCCTGGCCCAGGGTCTTTCTGCATGGAGTTTGCATGTTCTCTCTGAGCATGTGGTGGTTCTCTCCAGCCACCTCCCACAGTCCAAAAACAGGACTGTTCATTGGCTTCTCTAAATTCTCTTTGGCAGTAAGTTGGTGTGCATGAATCGCTGTTTGTCTCTGTGTTGCCCTGCAATAGGCTGGTGACATGTCAAAGGTGTACCCTGCCTCTTGCCCACTGACAGCTGGAGATAGGCACCAGCAACCCTCATGATGGATGGTTGGATGAATAAAGCAGGAGATAAACATGCAGTTTTGAAAATTTTAAGATATATTTGATTTACTTTTATTGTCAAATGGTGTTTCTAAAGAACATATGATAAAACAGCATGGAAATATAGGAAATAGTTAGGAAATAGTCTTAGTTGTCTGCACAGACAAGAAGTAGAGAGCACATTCAGATTAAAGAACGCAAAAAGCCAAAGCTGCAACACGTTATTCTTAAAGTTGTAATTGAAGATGGAATTGGGAGAGGATACTATTTCAGTTTTGGAATGTATTTTCATGCCATCTCATTGTATAATCGCTGGCTCGTGGACTGAAATGTAAAAGTGGAAATTTCCTTTACTTGAAGTCATGCAAACACATGCAGTAGTGGAGCAAGGATAATACCTGCAGCTGGATGTTTGCTATGAAAGAAATGAATAAGCCTGTAGACCCTAACTCTCACTTATCTGCGATTCAGTGGCGTAGTGGACTGCCTATTTTTGAGAAAAACAAAGTGGAAATGATTACCAGTAAACACCTGCATGAGATGGATCCTCACTGCCTGTGACATACTATAAGTTGCCAACAATATCTTGTGTTTTTCCTAATTTCTTAAGGATTAGAAACACTTGAACCCCTAGAGATAATTGGCACCTGTAAGCTGATGATAAGTATTCTGTCAAACATGATAGATGTGCTTGTGCTTCTAAAATAAGGGGTGTGTTACATAAAAATAAAAAACTGTGAGAGTTTTATAACCAATCAAACCATAATAAAACAACACTATAAAAATTGGGCCCGCATCTTGATTGCTGGGATTGATTTTTTTAAACATGGTGGCTGCTAGTGATTATATACACATATATTTTTTTGTTAATACAGGCTACCTACTTTACTGCCACATTCCCCTTCGTCTTGCTGGTGGTACTGTTTTTTAGAGGTATGACCCTTCCTGGAGCATTTCATGGTGTCAAATACTACCTGTACCCTGATCCCTCTCGGCTAGCTGACCCACAGGTATGATTACACAAACATTATCTAACATTTGGAAAATAAGTATAAACATTATAGTTTTTTAAAAGTCTTTTTAGGTTATTTTTTTAATCTTTTTAATTTAATTTCTATATGATCGAGAGATTCGTGTAAAAAGTCCATATGCACAAATAAGATAAAGCTAAACAGCCATAGCAGTGTTTTCTTTTTTACATAACTTTACATTGAACCATTATTTAAATATACTCGCCTCTGTAAAAATGATACATTTCTGAAAATAATTTATTTTCTCTAGGTCTGGATGGACGCTGGAACACAGATATTTTATTCCTATGCCATTTGCCTGGGGTACATGACCACATTTGGAAGTTACAACAAGTACAACAACAACTGTTACAGGTGACAAACAGATAAAAACGTGCCTTTACGAAAGCAAATACTTTTTGTTTAAAAATCACACTTTGCAAATTTAAAGTAATCTTAATTTAACAGCAAAATCATGCAAAGTCTGCCCATTTAATGTTTCTTCTGTGATTTATTTTTTCCTAGCAATTCTAAATATATATATAGTATGTACAGGGGAGTCTTGTAGGAGAGCATTAGGGAGGTCAGGCACTAAAGATGGTTAAGATACCATAGCTGCGATTCTAATCTCTAATTCATCCCAAAGGTTTTGTCATGAGTTCCAGCTAAGGACTGGGAGATCAGTTAAGGTCCTAAACACCTAAGATGCTCATTAAGGTCCCAATAGACCTTGTTTTCTGCAGAGATACACAGTCACATTTGAAATGAGAACTGGCCCTTCTAATCCTCTCCGACAGATTGAGGAGCATTAAACTGACGAAATGTTCAGTTTTCTGCAGCATTAAGATTTTTTTTTTTTTACTTGAATAAGGGCTCAGCCCATCTCTTGACAAGAAGCCAAAGCACTATGAGCCAAAAAGCAACAAATTATATACTACAAAAAGAGCAGTTAAACCAAGTCTACAGACAGGTATGAGTAATCATTCAAAAGAACCAATGAGTCACCACTGCTATAAAGTCTAGTGGCAGTGCACTGTGTGGATTTGGTTATGAAAAACTAGGATGTAGCTTTTCCTCCATGAAAACACAAAGCCAGGAATTCTCTCTGAAGTATTATTGAGCTATTGGGAAGTTTGGAAGTCTGTAACCACTGATTTTGCAGAAAGAACCTCTGTATGCTCTGTGCCTTCTGTGACCCTGATCCGGTAATTCCTCCAGCCGATTCCTTCATGGCTGAGTTGCTGTCCTTCACAGTGGCTCTAATTATGTCAAAATATTTAATTTGAAACCTTTTTTCACAATGTTTGTTCTGGCAAGAGGCTGAAATGTTGGCACTTTTGGCTATGAAAGCTTTGCTAACATCTGAATTCAGCTTTTCAGGTAAAAATAACTAAAAGCAATAATAATATTGCCTAAATTTTGCATAAAGATGCTTTCAATAATTAAAACCAAAACATAAATATATTTTTTATTTTGCATTTTCAGCACCACAACTATGTATTTTTTCATTATTTGCAGAGACTCCTTCTATCTTTGCTTGCTGAACAGTGGGACCAGCATAATGTCTGGATTTGCCATTTTCTCCGTTCTGGGCTACATGTCAGTAAAGCAGGGAGTTGACATTTCTGCTGTTGCTGAGTCAGGTATGCTTTAGACCAGCTGGAATCTTTATAACTGCCCCTTCTTTTCTCCTGAATGAACGTTTTATGTTTCATTACAGTTCGATTGACTAAAGAGCTGTTAGATGTTTTGAGGGGATTTGTTACTGCTTCTGGTTAAGCACATTGGAAATGTTCTGAGTGAAGTGCTTTTGTCATTTTTAATAACAAGCATTTTATGTAACAGGTTTTCAAGGGATTTACTTTGTCCTCTCACTTTGCAGGTCCTGGACTTGTCTTCATTGTCTACCCACAAGCCGTAACTCTGCTGCCTTGGCCTCAGGTCTGGTCTGTGTGTTTCTTCTTCATGATCATTTTACTGGGAATCGATGGGCAGGTAAGCATAATTCTTTATTTTATGATCACAATTTCACATTGCTGTTTCTTTACCAGCCTCCAACAATGTTGCTTTCAGTTTGCAGGACTTGAAAGCAACATGACCTCTTTGACTGATCTTTATCCTTCCTACCTCCGAAGGGGATACCACAGAGAGCTTCTTCTGATGCTGCTCTGTGTTATTAGTGCTCTGTTGGGCTTATTTATGGTCACAGAGGTGAGTTGTGGGACATCATTTTAAAGTTGTAAAAAAATACATTATTTTATAGTTAATATATAAGTTCATAGGAGCAGCAGCTACACAGATATAGCAAATAACTGTTGCCTGAGGATGTAGGTGGTCATAAACCCTTAAATGAGTGAAAAAACCTGCAGCAAATTTGGTGGAAGATGCTATTTAGGATCTCAGCTTCTGAAGAGCAGTGATTAATAAAAAATAGAACTCTGGGGGGTCAGGCATACAATTTAAGGAAAAATAAGAAGCCCTATTACTGGGCCAAGGTTCTTTCTGGAAATATCACATCACAAGCCAAACTGACCATCTCCTCCGCCAAGAAGGTTTTAGTCATAATATAAGTATCAAACACATCCCTAACAAGAAAACTATAAAGCTAAAAACTATTCTTGACAAATTCAGCATTCTTGACCAAAGTCTATGACAAGCCCATATGAGCGTCATCATAGATGCCACGTAGTATTGTTGTTTATAATACGATTTTGTGTTTATTGTTGTCACTGAACATACTTTTTTCTTTGTATGTCTAATAGTATTTGATACAAAAAAAAAAGAAAGCACTTTTCCGCACAACAGTAAAGAAATCCTGGACAAGCAAGCTTCCAGGGTCATTAAAACAATAAATCCCTTCAGTGGAATATCCACATGCCTGTGGTTAGTGAAAAAGAAAATCTAAATGAAATTGCAATCACAATATTAGTTTAAAAAAAAAATTGCTGTTTTGATTTTTGGCTATGTAATTCATCCCAAGTAGACTACTGATACAAGGCTGACACATTATTAGCAATTTTGAGTAACAAATAAATGACCAATTTGTTTGAATTGGAATCATTGCTCAAAGTAATATCTTTAATCTGCAACATTGATGCAAGACGATAATACAACAATCCCATAATTGAAATGATTGTTTGCAATTTTACAAAACAAAACTGTCATGGTTTTGGTTCTGTTATGCTTTACTTTGCCCCATGTTTCCTAGTTTTATTTGTTTAATTCCTATTTTGTTGTAGTTTTCTAGATTTATGTTAGTTCTCTGGTTTTTCTGTTGTTTTCCTCTGTTGCCCTCTTGTGTGTTCCTTTCCCCTTGGCTCCCTCGTTGTCTCCAGTCACACCTGCTCCTTATCCGCTCGTTAGCCCTGCCTTGTCTCAGTCAGCTATTTATACTCTCCCTCTGCTGTCACTCTTTGATGACTTCTCATGTTGTTGTCTTCCTACCTCGTCTCTCCCTGGCTCCTCATGTTTGGTTTCCCGTGATGTCTCCATGGTTCTGGTTTGCTTTACATTTTTAGTTGGATTTTTGGATTCCTGCCTTTGTTAAACTGTTTCATCTGATTAAATCTACAAGAACTCACCTTTGTCTCCCTGGCTCTCAATTTGGGTCCACAAACACCAACCAACATGTGACAAAAAAAAGCCAATTTCTTTGAATACATTTACATTTTAAACTATTGAAATATTTTTTTGTACCAAAACCATCATTCAGTTTTTAATATTTTATCTTGTTCCCAAAAATGACTCTGAAATCAATTTGCTAAAACTCTCGAAGTTATGTGAGGTCCCGGATCGATTGATGATGCTAAAAAGGGGCTTAGTCACACATGCATCAGGGCAGCTCTGAGAAGACATTGGCTACAGCAGATAAGGTAAACCCCTGCTGAGGTAGGAATGAAGCTTACTCTGAAACACCTACAGTCAAACAGACCGGTTTGCTCAGACATCCTTTGGAGCGGCTTTATTCATGTGGCAGGTCATAAACATAAAACATCTTGTAAAAACATAAAGATGGTTATCATAAAGATTAACATGATTTTGAAACTGAGATATTTAATTTAATTTTGTTAAAATCATTTGAAGCACTAACTTTTCTTATTTCATGTCGATAAATATAATTGCAGCATGGTTTGATTTCAGCTGCAACTGTTATAACGGATGATGTCTTCTTACACAAACAGGATAATTGCTGTTATTTTGATAAATGTGTGTTGCGTCTACGTTTTAGGCAGGAGCATACATTCTGCAGATCTTTGATCACTATGTGTGCAGTGGCCCCACCCTCCTTCTGATGGCAATCTTCCAGTCAGTGATCATTGGATGGATTTATGGTAAGACTGTTGTTGATTTATAGATGTTTTAGTAAAATAATAACCTTGTAAAGAGAGGTTATAAGATGATAAACCTTGAAAAAGCAGCTTAACTTTAAGTGATGGTGAATGATGATCTCTGTCCCAGTTTGTAGAGCAGCCTGGTTTTGGCCATGAGCAAAGCACTTAAACTGTCAAGGAAAAATATGTTTACACTTGTTTTCATTTCGACTTACTGGCTTTGTCAGTCCTGATGAGATATCTTTGGAGACATGTACAACTGCCTTCTGTCTTTGTTTAGCTCTGTTTTCAACCTGCCAACAAGACTTTTATAAATCAAAATTCATCTGGCTACATTTTGCAAACCAGCAACTTACTGTGCTACGCCAACCTGTGATTGCACAAAAAATAACAACAACGACAACCAACTTCCTCTGCAGGTCAAAGTAGAATCTCTGTACAGTTGCTTCTGTACTAAGGAAAATTATTTCTCGTGCAATACCTTATCTACCTAATTTCATGGGAGGTATGGTGCATTGAAATTTATGTAGATTGTGTAGGTTGTTTTTCGACAGTTGAACAACAACCCCTAAACATACAAACGCAGCTATAATAGAATAGTCTCTTCAGAAATATATTAATTTCATATATTTTACATAATATATATTAATTTATCTATCTGCATTTAACCCATCCCCTTGGGGAGCAGTGGGCTGCCATCATGTGGTGCCCGGGAAGCATTGTGGGGTTAAGGGTCTTTGCTAAAACCAAAAAAAACAATTTAAACCAGCAAACAATCAGCTGTTAGTGGCAGTGGGTACAGGTGATTGACCTGCATCAACTAATGTCAAACGACTCCACAAGCGACCCGGGTTTAAATCGCCTTTAAACGGCTCACTCCAATTGGCATACAGTGGAACATTAATATAGACGACACCATTTAGCGCAACGTATGAACATCAACACACCACAACAGTTGCATCTGATCTAAGCCAGAACAACTGTGCTCACATTCCACAAACATTACGCAGCACTGGTAAGAGAGATTTAACAGATAAAAGAGCAAAACAATAAGGCACACTTAGTATTCCCTGGCTCCCTTTAATGTTGATCTACATTGTTTACTTTCCTAATTTTTGTTGAACTGGTGAAAACATCAAAGCTAACACAACATAATGGCGTTACCAGACACGCAGCGGCGGGGCGACAGAGGCCAACAGATGCCACTTGCCAGACCCAACTTTTTTGCCAATGGGAAGGGAGCCAAAGCAGATTGTTGGGTCAACCCGAGGATCAAAATCCCGGGTTGACATGCTAATTTGAGTGAGGCTTCAAAATTCACAGACACTGTCATCCGGTCTGACTAAGCTTGAGTTAAGTAGCAAATAAGTATATGTGAAGACTTCTCCCGATAATGTACACCCCTACCTCAAATGTCTGGATGCAGGATTATTTCAATAAAGGTGTGCAAATTCTTTATCATGTTTTTCTAAAAGCATTTTCAGAAAAATTAAGGCTGTTTTGTGTTTCAACTAAGACACTGCTTCAAAATGTGACCTTAATACAGGTTTACATTGTAACTTTGAATTTTTTTTTTTTTGTAAAATAAAAAAGCAGCTTTTTATAAGCATTCTCTCACTGATACTGAGATTTTTTTTATATATATATATATACTAAACAAGCAATGAGCTATATGATGCCAACTAACTGAGGAGCTGTAATGTGGCCTGGTATTCAGCATGCCTGTGAAATTAAAAGGACAATGATGCAGCAGAGCCACTGATTCATGAATAGCGGTGCTAAAGAAAAGAACTCACTTAAAGAATAAGTGTTTCTGTAATGTGCATTATCTCTACACTGACTGACAGCTGCTGCATTTATCAACACGTGGTCTTTACTTTCTCAGAGTTGTACTGAATAGCACAGTCATTATGTTATTCAAAAATACATGTATTTTTGTTTTGCTTTGTTTTGGGTTTTTTTCCATACAGAAATAGTGGGATTGAGAAGTTCCGTTTTTTTTTCCTGGTATAGTGTGGCCCCTTTTTAATTAGATTGCAAAGTAGATCTTATTTTTGTTCAAATATTTCAGAAGCACTATTTTTCAGCTTCATACCTTTTTTTAAAGCCAGTTGATGGCTGTGCAAAACTTGCAAAAATATAAAGTTCTAAAATATCTCATGTCGTGGGAAAAAAGTATTCAACTATTCATCCTAGTGAAATAAAAGGAGATCAATGGATTTCACTCAGTCGTTACATTTATTCATATCTTTGCAAAGAGAGAACAGTTCATCATACAGCCCTTATGGCACAGCGTTCAGCCCTGTTCTCCCTGAGCAGCGTGTGTTCCCCCTTACTTACAACAATAGAAAAGTAGTCAGAGTCAAAACAAATTACAGACACTTTGGTTAAACAGTAACATGTTATGAATAAACCTTAAGGAAGAATCTGGCTTGTTATGGGAAGAAGCTATGTCTGGTCTACAAACACCATCCTGCAGAGAATCGTGTGACCTTGAAAGTGAAACGGATTGAGTGAAAACTTTTATAGTGAGTAAATAGCATAAAATATAAAGAGAAAGCTAAATGTTCCAACAACACTCATTTGCTTTATTATTCTTTAATTATGAACAAAAAACATAATCACATCTGTATATTGTTAATGCAACACACATTTCCTACCCTACACACCAAAATTGTGCATATTAGTTGTACTGTATTAGTATTCAATGTTTTCAGATTTGTAGTCCTTTTAATTTATTAATTAACTTTATTAATTAATAAGAAATATGTTATATGTCATAATTGAACCTCCAGTTGTAGCTGAAATTCTGTTAATAGGAAAATTAAATCATAGACTATAAAATTAACTGCTTTCTTATTTTGACTAGCAACGAGTTACTTTGATTGTGCCATAGTTGAGTCAGGAACTCGCCCCCTGTGTTGACACCATCAATTGCTACTATCATCACTACAGGATAGCTGTTAGGTAGGGTGCATTCACTGAAACAAAAACAATCCTGTTTTTCAGTTTCTGATTCGGCTAATCACCAGTCAGGGCTGGTTAAGCTAAATATTGTTCAATCTAAGTCCCCAGTCAATTTCTTGGTGGTTTTTTTTGGGTACCCAGAAGCAACAAATCTAAGCCCCACAAAATGGATGACAAAACTTAATGGAAAATAGAAAATGATGTTGCCCAATTTTCATACCTCTACTTTCAGATATCAACCTTAAATGAATCAAGAACATGTAATTGATAAGTTTTAAGACTTTATTTGCACATATCCTGCTTTGTTTCTCTATATATGTGCAGATTACATTATGCATGATCAGTTTATACAATCGGTTTCTGACCCTTGAAGTTTACGCTTAGTAGTAAAACAGATTCCAACATAAGAAATATTTTTTTTTGTAGATGAACCTCTGTCAGATGTTTAGCAGTTTTTGTACACAATTTTATTTAAGTAAATTAAGTATATCTGTTGTTGTAGGTGCTGCACGCTTCAGTGACAATATCGAGGACATGATTGGTTACAAACCTCTGCCACTGTTCAAATACTGCTGGCTCTACATCACCCCTCTTATTTGCAGTGTAAGAGTCCAAATTAGTTTATAATATTTTTATGAATAATCTTATAGTTTGATTCCAAATATTTGTTTTTTCTTTCCCTTCTCTTTAGGCCACTCTTGTATTTTTACTTGTGAGATACACTCCAATGAGGTTCAACAAAACATATGTGTATC